GTTGTGTCCCCATGTCCCCCCATTGTCCCTGGGGTCTCCTGTCCTCCTCGTTGTGTCCCCATGTCCCCCCATTGTCCCTGGGGTCTCCTGTCCTTGTTGTGTCCCCATGTCCCCCCATTGTCCCTGGGGTCTCCTGTCCTCCTCGTGGTGTCCCCATGTCCCCCCATTGTCCCTGGAGTCTCTTGTCCTCCTGGTGGTGTCCCCGTGTCCCCAGGTTGTCCACAGAGCCCCGGTTGGGTCCCTGTGTCCCCTCCCTGGTTGTCACCAGTGTCCTGGCTGTGTCCCCCACCCCGGTGTCCACGTCCCCCCCATGTCACCTCTCCTCCTCGTCGTCCTCGTCCCCCATGGCATCGTCGATGGCATCGCTCATCAGCTCCTCTTTCATGTCCATGATCTCCGCCTGCTTCTCAAACTCCATCATGATCTTCTGGATCTGGGGCAGCTTCAGCTGCAGGGACATGGAGGGGGACAAAGTGTGTGGTGTGTCACCCCCTGTGACACCCATGGGTGGCCGTGGCCCTTGGGAGGTCGCCTGCTGCCACCCATGGTGATTATGGCCTTGGAGATGCTGCCATGGCCACATTGCGGTGGCCTTTGGAGATGTTGACCCGCGGCCACCATGATGGCTATGGCTTTGGGGGTGCTGGCGGCCGTGGTGGTCATTGGGGATGTCCCCATGGCCACCTGCACTGGTTTGTGGTGGCCCTTGGAGACGTTCTCCTTGGCCACCCTTGATGGCTATAGCCTTGGGGACAACAGTGGCCACAGTGGCCTTTGAAGATGATCCCAATGGCCGTGGCCTTGGGGATGTCCCCAAGGAGATGCTGCCATGGCCACCCCCCTCACCATGGGGACACCTCCTTGCCACGGCGGTCATGGCCCCTGTCCCCATGGGCAGCTTATCAGGGCTCGAACGTCCCCAAAGCCACCCGAGCTCACGGTGGTCACCGAATGTCCCCCGTTACGGTGACCCACCTGGCGGTTCATGGTGGCCATGGCCTTGGTGACGCCCTTCATGGCCTGGGCCATGGAGTTGTTGGACTTGAGCGTCTGGATCTTGAGGGCCACGGCCTGCACGTTGGCCCGCATGGTGATGAACTTCTTGATGTAGCGCCGCGTGCGCACCAGGTCCTTCGCCATGATCTTCACGGCATCCTGGYGGGGACACAAGGGACATCAGGGGGGCACCGGGTCCATGGGGGTGCCCCAAACCCACTGGCATCTCCATGGCTTCGTACATAGCTGGTCCTGTCCACGAGGTCCTCAACATCTGCTGATCCTCAGCACGGGGTGCCCTGATCCACCCTCTGTGTTGTCCCCTGGGGTCCCTTCTGTGTCCCTTGGGTCCCTCTGCCTCTCCCGGTCCCCACTGTGGTACTTGGCTTGCCCCCTAACATGTCCCCAAGGTCCCTCCACATCTTCAGATCCCTCCCGTGTCCCTCCCTGTCCCCCTTCTCCTTCCACGTCCCTTGTGTCCTTCCATGTCCCTCAGTGTCTCCCTTGTCCTTCCATGTCCCTCAGTGTCTCCCTTGTCCCTCCATGTCCCCCCAGGTCCCTCCATGTCCCCCTTCTCCTTCCACATCCCTTGTGTCTCTCCATGTCCCTCAGCGTCTCCGTTGTATCTCCATGTCCCTCCATGTCCCCTCATGTCCCTCCAGATCCCTTCATGTCCCCAACATC